GAAGAGAGATCTTAGCATATAAGAAATTGACAGGCAATAAAATCAAGAAAAGCGAATTGATTTTAAGGAAAATTCTGATATCACAGCTCCATAACAGCCAATTTAGCAATATAAAAATGACAAAGGCAATGAAAAAAGAGAGCCAAGGATTTTTGGGAAATTTCAAAAGCCAAGCCTCCCTGACAGCAAACTTAGAAAAAAAAAATCACAGGCAATGAAATAAAGAGAACCAAGGATTTTAGGGAAATTCTAAAGCATAGCTCCCTACAGCAACGAAGCAATAAAAAATGGCAAGCAATGAAAAAAGAGAACGAAGGATTTTAGGGAATTTCTAAAGCATAGCTCCCTACAGCAACTTAGCAAAAAAAAATGACAGGCAATGAAAAAAAGAGAACCAAGGATTTTTGGAAAATTTCAAAGCCAAGCTCCCTACAGCAACTTAGCTAAAACATTCACAGGCAATGAAATAAAGAGAGCCAAGGATTTTAGGGAAAATCTTATACATAGCCCTCTACAGCAACTTAACAAAAAATATGACAGGCAATGAAATACAGATAATCAAGGATTTTAGGGAAATTCTAAAGCATAACTCCCAATAGCAACTTAGCAAAAAAAAAGACAAGCAATGAAATAAAGAGATCCATGGATTTTAAAAAAATTCTAAAGCATAGCTCCCTACAGCAACGAAACAATAAAAGATGACAGGCAATTAAATAAAGAGAGTGAAGTATTTTAGGGAAATTCTGAGACATAGCTCCCTACAGCAAACTTAGCATGAAAAAATGACAGGCAATGAAATAAAAAGAGCCATGGATTTTAAGAAAAGTCTAAAGCATAGCTCCTTACAGAAACTTAGCAATAAAAATTGACAAGCAATGAAAAAAAGAGAACCAAGGATTTTTGGGAAATTCTGAAGCATAGCCTCCTACAGCAACTTAGCAATAAAAAATGACAGGCAGTGAAATAAAGAGAGCGAAGGATTTTAGATAGATTTTGAAGCATAGCTCCTTACAGCAACAAAGCAATAAAAAATGACAGGCAATAAAATAAAGAGAACGAAGGATTTTAGGAAAATTCTAAAGCATAGCTCCCTACAGCAACGAAGCAATAAAAAATGACAAGCAATGAAAAAAAGAGAACGAAGGATTTTAGGGAATTTCTAAAGCATAGCTCCCTACAGCAACTTAGCAAAAAAAATTCACAAGCAATGAAATAATGAAAGCGAAGGAATTTAGGGAAAATCTTATACATAGCCCTCTACAGCAACTTAACAAAAAAAATGACAGGCAATGAAATAAAGATAATCAAGGATTTTAGGGAAATTCTAAAGTATAACTCCCAATAGCAACTTAGCAAAAAAAAGACAGGCAATGAAATAAAGAGATCCATGGATTTTAAAAAAATTCCAAAGCATAGCTCCCTACAGCAACTTAGTATTAAAAAAAGAGAGGCAATGAAATAAAGAGAATGAAGGATTTTAGGGAAATTCTGAAATATAGCTCCCTACAGCAACGAAGCAATAAAAAATGACAGGCGTTAAAATAAAAAGAGCCATGGATTTTAGGAAAAGTCTAAAGCATAGCTCTTTACAGCAACTTAGCAATAAAAATTGACAAGCAATGAAAAAAAAGAACCAAGGATTTTTGGGAAATTCTGAAGCATAGCCTCCTACAGCAACTTAGGAATATAAAATGACAGGCAATGAAATAAAGAAAGCGAAGGATTTTACGAAAATTCTGAAGCATAGCTCTCTACAGCAATTTAGCAATAAAAATTGAAAAGAAATGAAAAAAAAGAACCAAGGATTTTTGGCAAATTTCAAAGCAAAGCTCCCTACAGCAACTTTTCAAAAAAAAGACAGGCAATGAAATAAAGAAACCAAAGATTTTAGGGAAAATCTAAAAGTTAGCTTCCAACAGCAATTTAGAAAAAAAATTGAAGACAAATGAATAAAGAGAGGAAAGGATTTTATGGAAATTGTGAAGCGTAGCTCCCTACAGCAACTTAGCAATAAAAATTGACAGACATTTAAATAATGAGAGCGATGGATTTTAGGGAAATTCCAAAGCAAAGCTCCCTACAGCAACCAAGCAATAAAAATCGACAGACAACTAAATAAAGAGAGCGAAGGATTCTAGGGAAAATCTAAAACACAGCTCCCTACAGCAACGAACAATAAAAAATGACAGGCAATGAAATAAAGAGAACGAAGGATTTTAATGAAAATCTAAAGCATTGCTCCCTACAGCTACGAAGCAATAAAAAATGACAGGCAATGAAATAAAGAGATCCAAGTATTTTAGGGAAATTCTAAAACAAAGCTCCCTATAGCATTAAAAATTGACAGGCAAGGAAATGAGAACAGGCTTTTATAGTAATTCTAAAGCAAAGGTCTCCACAGCAACGTAGCAATAAATATTGTTAGGCAAAAATAAAGATGAAGGAAGGATTTTAGGGCAACTTTAACGTAAAGCTCTCTACAGCAAATTAGCAAGAAAAGATGACACGTTGGTTTTTAGAGTAGCTCATAAACAAAGCTAGTGATGGTAAGTGATAATCATAAATCAATACGTGAGGAAAAAAAATAAAGGGCTTTTTATGGAAATTTCATAACAGAGCCACCAGCAGTAAGTTTGAAATAAAATTTTATGAGGAAGGAAACAAAATTACAGAAGTATTTTAGAGAAATGTTTTTACAAAGCTCACAAAATTAAGAAACTTTTTATCAAAAGCAACGTAAAGTAAGTCATGAACAGGATTTAATTCTCAAGGAAAATATGATTTTTGAATTATAATGGTAGTTCTAAAATAAAATTTTTAAAAAAAAGTAATGTCTGCACTTCGGAATAAAAGGTCTGCAGTTTAGAATAAATGCAGAACGATCCACGCTATTTAAGTTTGTAAGTTTGGAATTTGAAGGAAAGGGAACCGACATACCTGCAAAAGTCATACAAGTTTTTATTAAGGTTTTAGTCCAGATCCCATTCATATCCAATTTCTAGTTGTTCAAGGCATCAACTGGCTACATTGATGGAGCTTTGAAGAGGAATTTGTGAGTCCTAGGATTTTAACAAAAAAAACATTGGAAGTAGTTGAAAAGATATTTCAATAAAGTTCACGAAAATGCAATTTTCTTTAATTTTGTCCCAAAGAACAGAGTCCTGAGCAAAAGCAAGACCTGAAGGACCGAAGAAACCAAACAAACTATTTATGATTAAAAGAGATCTGGAGAATGTTATCGACAAAGTCTGAAATCAAAAAGTCGTTTCAATCAAAGTATCGAAATCATAGATGGCTTTTTCATTGTTAACATTTTTTCAAAGTTCTAAAAAGCAACAAAATTTTGTTTTCACAACTGAATTGCCAAAAAATGACATTGATTCAAAAGAGCTAAGAGAGGAGGTTTTCATAACAAAGGGTAGTATCGTTGCTAAGAGGATATCTTCAAATTTCTTGCAAAAGTAGCATTAGTAGAGGTAATGTCATGGTAATTAAAAGTAACGCATAATGTTTTGCATTGGACTTTAATCATTGGCATCACATTACAGCCTTAGTTTGGAAGAATTCGGAGGAAATTAAACAAGTCAGGATTTTGTCCTAAATTTTTCCCAAACTTTCAATATTTTAGTCAAAGCCTTAAAATCCACAAAACATTATGCAGCTGTGTCCTACATCAAGCTACGTATGAAACAGATCAGAAGTGAGGGAGCCAAAATAAGAAAGCCACACAGACACGCCCTTTATTAAAGGTTACACCCAAAAATGATGTAAAGAATTAGTTGCTACATTATCTGCAGACGGAAGGAAAGTTTTGTAAAGCATTCATTCTGTGGACTAATGCATAAATATTAATAACATTATCTTATGGTAAACGAAATTTTATTATTGAAATTAAATTAATGGCAATCTAGGCCTAGTTATCTATGAAAAAATAATTTTTTTTGCGAGCAATTCAAGACTGTCTACTCTTGATTTGAAAATACAAAACAGTAGAAGAAAGTGGGTAACTTTGTGGTTTTGTTTGGGGATGTCAGGGACTTTTATCCTGCCAAACTGAATGTGAAACTGTCAAAAATTATGACGATTTAATGAACATCAAACGATGAACTTCAAAACGTAGAAAGGACACGATGGACAGTCATCGACTTTTTCCGGTCTAACGTAAGAGTTTACAAAGACTACGTTAAGGATTGAAACACCCCAGGAAATAATGTTACGAGAAGCATTGCTGTCTATTAATTGAAATAGACCAACGAGAAACATAATTTGAAAGTAAGACTTTAATCAGAATTATTCAAAGATACGTTTAGTCAAAAGTAAAGGGGACAGGAACAAAAACCTTGTTTCAAAACGCAGAAGAGACAATATGGAGAGAGATTGACTTTATCAATAGGGGGTAAGACCATACTTAGATTAGATAAAGAACTGAAACATCCAAGGAATAAATGGCACAACAAGTATTTCTGTCTATCAATTGAGAGAGACCAACGAGAAACATAAACTTTATCAATTTAAATGTTAGATTTTAATCAGTATAATTAAAAAAGAGTTTAGCCAAAAGTACAAAAGACAGGGACAAGGAGCTTGTTTTACAACGCAGAAGAGACACGATGGACAGTCATCGACTTTTCAATATAGGGTAAGATTTTTCTTCGATTAGTTCAAAGAATGAAAAATCCAAGGAATTAATGGCATAACAAGCATTGCTGTCTATCAATGGAGAAACATCATCGAGAAACGTAAACGTTATTTAATTCAAAGTAAATGTTTAATCAGAATATTTTAAAGATAAATTTAGTCAAAAGTACAAGAGACAGAAACAAAAACCTTGTTTTAAAACGCAGAAAAGACACGATGGAAAGTCGTCAACTTTATCAATAAAGGGTAAGACTTTTCTTAAATTTGCTGTAGAATTAATCTTTTAGAATTCAAATTTAGAGTTGAATCAGAATACTTCCAAAATAAATTTAGCCAAAGGTATAAAGGGTAGAGTCAACGAACCTTCTTTCAGAACGTAGGAAGGACACGATGGTGAATCTTCGACTTTATCTATCAAGGATAACAATTTACTTAGATTAGATTATGGCTGGAAACATCCAAGGAAAATATGGCAGAACAAGCAATGCTTTCTTTCAATGGAAGAATCCAACGAGAAACATAAACTTTTGAAAATTCAAACTTAGAGCCTTATGCAAATAGTTCAAAGATAAATTTAGCCTAAGGTACAAAGGGCAGAGACATCAAAGCTTCTTTCAAAAGTAAAAGGGACACGATTATGAATCATCTTTTTTATCTATCTAAGGTAAGAATTTACTTAGGTTCATGTTACTCGATGTAGAGTAAGTATGGATAGAGTACAGGCTGCAGTGCAGGTGATTCAAAATTGATCGTAATACCGTGCTTTGGAAAATGTCAATAATTGGTAAACGCAACAGCTATTCGCTGTTCACAAATAATTTTCTCATTACCAGAGGGTAAGGGTAGCTAAATATCGTTCTGATTGATTTCACCCTTGCCTTAAGCCTGGTCCATCTATTTGCAAATTCAAAGCTTTCACTTGGTATATCTCCATTAGGTTAGCTATTTCAGCTACTGTACAATGGATGAACCAGACCCAATTTTTGGCCATAACCATTTAAAGAATCATATAATAATTCTATCTACATTTACCTATATTTAAGTCAAAAGATCTGGGTTTGAATGCTTCCATTAAGTCAGCTACTCCAAACATTATACATTAAAACAACATAAACATTTAATCCTACAATACAGCACATTGTAGTTTTTCCTTTCTTCTTTTCTTTGACCTCTTTTATTTTAGTATAATGAGCAATCTCCAGTTCTCAATTAGTTCCTATTTATATTCTGTAGCAAAATTCAAAATGTTGGATTTTTTCTTGGAGGACTAATTCAACTTTTACAAAAATTCTTGTTTAGGCGAGGCTATATAGCCCCTTCACTATATCCCCTCTTAGATAAGGAGGAGGGCTTCTTTCTCTTTAGAACTTATGATTTCAACTCTTGGAACGATACTGGTTATGACGATCATAGCAAATACTACTTAATCCGGCATTCCAATTCTTTACTTGGATTGAATCAAAAGAAGTGACGTAGATTCACTATGGGACTGGAGTATGCAACCATTCCATTTTCCTTCCGGGTCGGGGTGTTCGTAGGGGGGGGGGAGAGAGGTGTAGATCATGACCAATGATTCACAGATAATATAATAAGAAAGACAAAATAGAAAGTCAATCAGATCGACCTCGAAAAAATTTTGTTACAGTAGATTGAGGCGAGAGAATCTAAGAACTATATCGCAATTCAATGTAAAAGGGTTTAAGGAATTTTAATTCTGCCGAATAACTTGGGTTTTGTGCTCAATGTATGCGGTCAAATGACGTTTCCACATAAATTGTAATAAAGGCTTTAAAAAAAACAAAATCTAAGTTTGCTCCATAAAAACAGGCTTTCTTTACAGCCGGCTGATCGACTGCGTATTTATCGAAGTTGCAGAAAAATTAAAATAAGAAACCTATTCAAATTATTCAACAAAGCTTGCTCGCTTGACTTTTAGAGGAAGAATCTTGAAGATGTCGTATCTACTTTCTGATAAGGTAAGATAAAAGCAACACTTTGAAAGGAAATAAGAGAACATATTCGATTACCTCAATTGAACGCAATCAGCCTGCGTCCTCTACCTCTGTGTCCAGTCATCGAATGTCTTCTATTTGTCGAAGCTTTACGGTGCAATACAAAATCCAGTATCGAACAAAGTTGAGAAGTTTATAGATCTAGTTGATTAATAATCGTTCAAAGTTTGTAGAAGTCGCAATAGAGCACCATCAAGTAGGCCATCTTGGATAGTATAAACCTTCGAAAACATTGCCGAATTCATTGCAGAA